GATAGTTCACACAAATAAGATTTTGCTAAAGATCATCCAACAACGATTGTAGCCGTACATTGACAGGGAACTACCAGAAGTTCAGGCTGGATTCAGAGAGGACGTGGAACAAGGGATATCATTGCTGATGTCAGATGGCTCTTGGCTGAAAGCAGAGATCACCAGAAAGAAGTTCACTTGTATTTTATTGACTATCTAAAGGTGTTTGACTATGTGGACCACAAAAAAACATGGATAAACTCGAGGAGAATGGGAATCGCAGAACACCTCCTTGTGCTCATGAGGAACTTGTGCTTGGATCAAGAGGCAATTGTTTGAACAGAACAAGGGGTAACTGCAAGGTTTAAAATAAAGAAATGTGTGCATCAGGGTTGTATCCTCCCACCATACTTGTTCAGTCTGTTTGCTGAGCAAATCATCAGAGAAGCTGGTTTATGATGAAGAAGAATGTTCTAAAATCAGAGAGTGGTTATGGTTGACAACTCTATGGATATACTAAACACTACTGAATTGTTGACTTTAAAAAGGTTAATATTAGGGTATGTGAGTTCTATTTCCACAATGCTATTATAAGATAATAATATTATTGCTACGTTGTCTTTCTGGAAAGTGAAATAACACTAGACTTGTAAATGAGAACATAGTATAATGATCTCGACTTCTCCTTCTTTAGGGATGTGTTATTCAAAAGACCCCACTTCTGTGGGTCCTACAGCTCCATCACCTCTTAGAGGTTTGAGACTCCAGGATGAGTTGTTGAATGAGGCAGATTTTTTCCCCCCACTTATAGCCTAATTCTGAGCCACATTTAGTGTTTATACCAATAAGAATTAGTTTGCATTGCTTACCTGCCTTTGTCAAGTAAACCTTCCCCTTCTGGGAAACAAAAGTAATGTCCCCAGTATAAAAACTGTGAAACGTCTTCTTGATGACATCATCATGAAAATCAGCTATTATGTCAAAAGTGTTGCCACCGTCTATTGAAAGCCAGATCTAGAGGAATAAAAAGATTACAGCTTACT